TCAACTTGTCTTCACTTCTCCAAGCTTCAGCTCTTCAGTCAATTCCACCTTCAGGCTTCACTTCTAACTACAAGTATCAACTTGATTCCTTCAGGCTCTCCAAGCATCAGTGTAAGTGTCAACTTATCTTTTCTTACTCAAGCCTCAGCTCTTCACTTAATCTCAATTGGATCCTTTTTATAAGTATCAACTTAGTCTTCAAGCTTCAGCTCTCTTTGCTTTGCCAGTATCAACTAGTTCTTCTTCTTCTACAAGCTTCAGCTTCTCAGGGTAATCTTAAATCACATGGAAGTGTCAACTTCATCCTTCAATTATTTATTTTCAAGCCTCAGCTCTTTATTCAATCTCAATTGGGTCTTCAGGTATCAACTTGTTCTTCTTGCTTTCCAAGCTTCAGCTGCATTGGCAATGCTCAAGGAATCATCCTCTTCCACACTCTTCAGTGAAGTCCTCATCTTCAAACTCAACCCCAACATCTTTCAAGATACTCAGCCCAGAATACAATTGATTTAACAGGATGAGTGGAAATGATAAACAGCTTACTGACAACCAAAGGAAGCCTGTAAGGGTTCATCATTATGAGAGACTGGTTCCCTCAAAGTTCTACTTCCCAGATAAAGCCACTCATCCTTCCAAAGGAGGGATGTGAATATCTGAGAAGGACTTTTAGTAATTGGGAGGAATGGAAGCACAAGATGCTTTCCATATTTGTGAAAGAAATCATTCTAACCCTAAGGCTCTCCCTATGGCTCCTATCTCCTAAATCTTCATCAGACACCTTCAGGCACAAGCAAATCCAAGCTCCAAGCAACCTCAAGCAACTTCAAGCATCCTCACCTTGTCTTCAACTTGTCTTCAATCTCAATCAAAGGCAAACCAAGCAAAAACCCTAATCTAAGGGGACTAAGGAAGTTAAACTAGTTGAATTAGTAAGTTAGGATTACCTAAAACCTAGTACTAAAGTTAGTCCTAACTAAAATACTAAACTCAATTGTAAAATCCTACAAAAATATTTATGGGAACCTAAGTCAATCATGACTCTACCATATTAATTCCAGAGATCAAATCATCAAATAAGACCTAGAAATAAATTCTACACTACAAGGTACTAAACCTAAACCCTAAAAGGAAGCACCTAAAGCTCAATCTAGAAAACACACCTATTTTCATCACAAAAATGTGAGAACAATGCTATGGGAGCATACATGTCCAACCTAATCACACACAAAAAATTAGGATCAAAATCATCACCACATGATCACACAAAATTCCACAAAATTATGTATCAAACATAACCATTTTAATATCAATTAAAATATAAAATTCCCATTAAATCAGAAAATACATGAAATAAAAATACTTTTTCTCTAAAAAACACTAGACTCAATCATGAGTAAAATGCAAAAAGAATGGGATTAATTGGATTAATTTTCAATTTTATATGATTTTTCCAAGAACCATGTACAAAATGAAAAATAATGGAAAATCCAACAAGAATAGACAAATGCACGGTGCAAGTAGTAAACAGAATCAGTACAAATAATGGATTGGGCCTTCAGGGGGGTGGGGATATCAGTCTATCTACTAAGCCCAAAACCACTAATTAAATGAAACGGTGCGTTTCATAATCAGAATTCCTTCACAAATGGAAATCAATACGTGGCCGTTGGATGAGCTTCTAGTCAAAGGTCCAACCATGATCCAATGGTCTCAGAGTCATCTCCTACCTTTCAAACCTCTGCAACTTCGCGCCCAGCTCCGGCCACCACCGGTGGTGCTCCGGTCATCTTCCTCAACCCTAATTCTCTCTAGGAGCCTCCATTGCAAATGGTCAATACATGAAACTTATCCCAAATTCCCTCACGAACTCATTCATGCCCTTAATTTAACTTGAATCCTCAAGATTCACCATATCCAATTCTCAACCGAAAATGGTAACACACCTATTTTGTCTCTAATTCTCAAATTAATGGCCTGAAATCAATCCTACACCGTTCTACAATGTAACTAACACCTTAATTCAACTTGATTCTACCTAAATCATGCTAGAGGAAGAAAGTTACCAACCTGAAAATCTTGGATGAACAGATGCACTAAACCTTCAATTCAAGCTCTCTAATCTTTCAGACACGATCAATGAACCCTCTCCTTGCTTCTGTATGCAAAAGAACCGGTTGAAAGCGCTTGAATCTTGAAATCCGATGGTGAGTTGCAGGTGGGAAAATTCACTTGCTCATACACAATTTAGCCACGAATTCTCTTGAATTATGATCTGGATTCACTCCTTAGCATTCATGAAAGAAGTTTCAATCAAGAAAATGGATGGAAAGTGAAGAATTTGGTGAAACAGAATTCAATTGCAAGCTATGGAATCTCAATCTCAATCTATGCTCTCTCCTTCAATCATCACCAACCTTTGCATTGGATCAACTCTATTCAATATATAGATGATGTATGAATGATCTAGAACCCTCTAGATCCTTCTAATGAGAGTTTCCACTTCTCATGTCATGAGATTTTCAACCATGTATCATGATATGCATAATGCTGCAAACAGCTTGAAACCAACCTCATTCTCTTTCAATTTCTCCCCTAGTGACATTTTGAAAGGGTTTAGCTTGCAAAGGACCTTGCTCATGCCTTGATTCTATGTTTTGCACATGTTACTTAATATGCAAGTAATCACTTTTCAAAGCAAGTCCACAAATTGAATCTCAAATCAAAAATATGGCTAAACCAATGTTCTTAAAATGTTTTCTAGAGTCAAAATGATATATTACATGCCATGGTTTGGATGTGTAGGTTGAAAATATCAATTTCCAACTTTGGTTTATTTAACTTATGCCCTTATTTTAGGTCATTTTTGCAACTTTGAGCTACAAGCATTCCCATCATCTCATGACCTCCTTACTAGCCTTAAAAAATCATTTTGAACAAGTTTGATGTTGAACATTTTTCCATTTGAAACTTGGAAATAGGAGTTATGGCCTTATACTTGAAATGACCTGTAATCTCCAAATGACCAAAATGCCCTTGACTTGTCAAAGCCATAACTTGAGTTATACAAATCATATCAAGGACTTCTAGTACTCTCTACAAAGCTAAGATGATAAGGAACAACATTCATGTTAACCAAAAGTTCATAGGAATCATCCTTCTTTGGAAAACGTTTGATGCAAGTTGGGTAACTTTCAAGGCCCCAGATTCACATACCTCAGATGACCTGGAACTTGTCAAAGTCATAACTTGAGTTCTATAAATCCTATCAAGGACTTCTAGTACTCAAATTAAAGCTAAGCTCAAGCTATACAACATTCATGTTGGGGGTAAGATGAGATGACAATCACATCTTAGGCTAAACTGCCTTGAAGATAAGGGTCAAACTAGGGGATTTTACACTGTCAAACCTTAGAAACCCTAGCTTGAAACTTCTCAAACTCTTCAATCATGATGAGTTAACCTTGGAATCATACTTATAGCATCTCAATGCATCAATCCATGATCACATGGCTCTTGGATTAGGTCTCAACCCTCTCCAAATCATCAGTTGACCTAGGGTTGACCCAGTCAAACCCTAATTACACCACTCATGGCTGTGGCTTCTTAATCTTGCACAATGACCTGTCTAGGCTTCATGATGGCTTTCAAGACATCTCATAAGCTCTCTCAAGGCTTCAAGTCCACATTCCTGGCTTCATAATCATCTGAGGAGCTCCCACAACTCTCAAGATAGGAGACCTACACTCTTGGTTTCAACCATTCTCTCTGAGGATCTTTTGACTTCTCTGACAAGGATATCAACCCTTGAACACTTGAATGAGCTCCTTAGCTAGCTTCAAGGTATTGCATAGCCCTTGATTGATACTCATACCTCTTGATCTCCTGCATACATGTCAATGAAATGCAAATGATAATGCTAATGTGAATGAAATGAAACACAAGCTAGGTAAAGAAATGTTAGTCAAATTTTGGGGTGCAACAGTGAGTTGTAGAAAATCCATAGAAAGAACCACTGAATTTCCATCTTGGAGGTGAGAGTACTGATTATTTACTCCAAGAATGAATAGCTGCAGTCTAATCTTCATGAGTTGGACAATTAGACATCCGAGGAAGAAGTAGAGAAGATCGATTTTAAATCTGCACTGAGTTTGCCTAGACAGGCTGCATCAGCCATCTCCAAATTTGAATTAGAATATGCATCATCTTTTCTCAATTTTGTAAAAATAAAGAAGATCAATTTTGAATCCCCACTGAGTTTGTCAAAACAAACTCTGACAAACTCAGCTACATGATATGATAGCAAAGGAAGCACAAGAAAGTGGAGACTATATGAGACCAACATATGAAATTTCGAAGAAAAGGACCAAATCTGCTTATTGTATGAATTGTATACACAGTTCCAATACTTTTGATATTCTGGTGAGATAAGTTTTCTATCAATTCTCTCCACATGTTTAATCTAAGCCTTAGAATTGATTTCATATATTTTCAATTATTTATGGCTCATGCCTGCCTCTTTGATTTATGACTTTCCAATGAGTTACGAGGAAAGTTCCAACCCAACCCAAGAAAAGTCTCGTATACGGTTAACAGTTCCGTCAATGATGGTCCTACTCTTTTAGTCTCTATTTATCAATTAATGATAATTGTTTCAAAACTAAGAAAAATCATGATTATAATTAAACAAGGACGAAGGGAGCAATCACATCATTGACAGAGCAGTTGACTTAGATATGCTTTTTCTCTTGGGCTGGATTGGATTTGAAATGGATGGTGCTGCCAAAAGTAGGAGATTTATAAGCTTTGCCTCAACTGCTGTTGGACTCATCTCTTATGCTCTAAGTTCTCCTTTCAACTATATCTTTCGATATTGGAATCTGTTGGATATTATCCTTTACTGCCTTTTCAACTTCATCATCTGTTTTTGTGATTTTATTTGAAATTGTTACAACACTCCACAAGTCTTTCTGTGAAACGAATTTTTACTCCCTTGACACAACATGATGCATATTCTAACCCAAATTTGGAGGTTAGTGTTGCATCCAAAGGTGTGGAGATTTGTTGGCTTTGCTTCAGCCGTTGTTGGACTGCTATGCTATGCTCTAAGCTCTTCCTTCAACCACCTATTTGGAAATTGGAATTTGTTCAAGATAATTCTTTACACTCTTTTCAGCTTCATCATCAGCCTCGTGATTTTGTATGCAAATATATGGAAGTCATCTACAAGTCTCCGATTCAAAGCTCATGCAGCTTTCCTCGTATTGACAATCACTTCTGTCTATTCCTTTTTCTTTGATAAAGTAGTGAATGGGAAACCAGATGCGTACAATCTCGTTTCATGTGCTTCCTTTGCGATCATGTCACTTAGTTTGTCGCGGCAAACTCATTGCGGAGTTGAAATTGATCTTCTCTACTTCTTCCTTGGATGTCTAATTGTGCAGCTCATGAAGATTAGCTTGCAGTTACTCATTCTTGGAGCAGGTTTCAGCTACTCCCTTATTATTCTTCGTTCTTCCTTCTCTTCAATAGATGATGCAATAGCAAATGAGTATTTTTACCTGCAAGGTGAAAATTCAGTTTTCCTTAAATTGGATTCATTGCTACTGCAACAACTTAAAACTTGTATGACGGAAATTGAGAAGGAAAATTTGAATCTCATAGACAGGCTTATGGAGCTCGTGAAGGAATACAATCAAGATAAGAGTGAATTACATTTACTTGATAAGTGTGATTTTGTAATGGATACTTTGTCATCAAGAAAGATCCATAATCTTAATGAAATTGTGAAGTTGATGATAGCAGCTGGTTATAAGAAAGAGTGCTATGATGTGTATAGTAGTTGGCGCAGGGTATTCTTGCAGGAGTGTCTCATAAACAAAATATTTGGTTTGCGAACTACAAACATCAATATTACCATGGATGAGTATGAGACAGAGCAATATTTAGATACCATGTTTGAAAGATGGATGACTGCTTCAGATGTAGCTGTGACAATCTTGTTTCCCATTGAACAGAAACTCTGCAATCGTGTCTTCTCAGGGGTTTCCTCTGCGGCTTTTAGTTGTTTCTTTGAGGTTTGCCACGAAGCAATGTCTCAGCTGCTGGGTTTTGCAGATGTGATTGCTTCCGGGAACCCTACGATATGACGTTTATTCAAAATGCTTCGAATATTCGGGGATTTGGATAATCATATTCCGAAATTTCAATCTCTTTTCTCGGATTCAACATTACTGATCGAGGCAATTGCAGTTAGGAATAGACTAGGAGAAGCTAGCAAGGATCTTTTCATTGAAATGCATAATGTTATTTTCAGAATCCCAACTGCACACGAAACTGTTCTGTCTCATGGCCCTATTCATCCAATTACTTTTCAGGTCATGAGCTCCGTATCTCTTGCTTGCAAGTCACGAAAAAAGTTGGAACAAATTTTACAAGCCTACCGCAAGGTTGATAATGAAGTGGAAGCATCATCTTTTTTCTTGACTCAATCAGTTGCTACCGCCCAGCGAACAAGCTCGCGAAGGCAAACAGAAGCTACTGACTTCGTTCGCTACCTCGCTCGCTCAGCGAAGGCCTAGCGAACCTTCGCTACCCCCTTCGCTACCAGCGAACACCACAAAATGCATTCTGCCCAAGTCTGGGACCGTTCGCTACTGGCTCGCTACTAGCTCGCTTAGCGAACGTTCGCTACCAGCTCGCTCAGCGAACATGCTAGCGAATGTCTGCGAACTTCAAACCTTCACTGCCAACTTCCACCAAACTCTCCAAAACCAACCGATTCTCACCGAACAAGTTCTGTAACCTGAGTCTAACATCGCCCGACTAAGTACTACCACTTATCCCCATTTTTAACCGTAAAAACTCGGTTCCTATCGATTAAACATCTTTTGCCCTAGAATGGAAAATGAGAAAAAACAACCAAACAATCCATACATAATCACATACATTGGTAAGATAACAATATTTCACACCCTTACCTTGATTAATCAGAAGCTAGAAGTCGTTCTTGATGATTTCCAAGCTTTTCCCTTCTTCTTCCTCTTTTCTCCTCTTCCGCTTTCTTTCTCTTCTTTTCCTTCTTTTCTTTCTATCTCTTTTCTTTTCTCTCTATTTTCCTTTTATATCCTTCTATTTTCTTTCCACCATAATCCTTCTCTCAAAATATTTATCCATTCCTTTTCTCACCAAAATATCTCATCTTATCATTAACATAGAGAATATCTATTAAATCCACATTATTCTTCCAAATAGGATAAATCAGTTAAATCCATTAACACATATGAATTAAATAAATCCAATAATCCATTTAAATCAGATAAATCACATAATCCAATTAATTAGTACAATTAATCAATCATGGAAAAATTCGGCTGTTACAATTCTCCCCCACTTTAGGAATTTTCGTCTTCGAAAATGTTACCTGATTCGAACAACTCTGGATACGACCCTCGCATCCCAAATCCCAAACTACTTCCACTAAAGGAATCCCTTTACCTCGAAGTTGCTTCTCGTTCATCAACCTGAACTAGCAATGTCTCAACAATCAAATCCTCTCTCACTCGTACACCACTCCATCTGAATGAATGCACTTCCTCAACTTAGACACATGAACACATCATGCAATTCCCACAAGTGACAGCGGAAAAACAGTCCAACATGCTATTTTCCCCACGCTTCCACTGCGCCGCTCTGATACCACTAATGTAACACCCTGCTAAACCCCACGGAAAACATATGAATAATTAGAGTAAATTGTCATGCATTTACAAAAGGGTGTCACAGATAAATTCCAAAACATCAAAATCACCTGTCATGCTCATTAACATTTCAATGTAAAATCATGCTTTACAAAATTTCACTTTGCATGTAGCAGCGGATTCATTTTATAACATAATACCCCTAACGGAAACATCTGTGTTCATCACATAAACCAACATCGTTTGGGCACTAAGGCCAACATCATAATATCTCAATAATATGAAAACATAGTATATCACTACAATATAAACCAAGCGATCCCAGTGTTACATGACCAGAGCATGACTCGACCCAACATAATCAATTACTAAACAACTACGCCAAAAGCAACCTCGCAACTACAAGCAGTACTACTCCTTGATACCTGCACGATGTCATGTAGGACATCATTCCAGCAGAAGGGTGAGAAATATTATCATAATAACAATGCATATAATCATATATAAATGCACAATTACAGAATACATATATTCCACATTTTCTCACCACAATTCATTATAATCATCATATAAATCACAACATGTATATAAACAAATATGGATAATTCACTCAAGCACTTTTCCTTATGCACACATACATAATTCTCAATCCTAACAACTCACACACATATGCACACTTTCATACAACAATCACATATACCATAAGACTCATATAAGTTCATCAATTCTCACAAATCCCCATATCCATACACAATTAGGATTATTCATCAACTCACAGTTACACACTCACCATTACACATTTACAAACCCCAATTCATCAATTCATGCTTGTAAGCATACTTCCATACAATAATCATGTATTCACAATTTTCATTTACACACGTCATACACATACACATATTTTCACAATTCTCACTATACTTCATCATAACCCATCATATGCTTCATAAAGTATATATACACAAACAAATATGGACAATAATAAAACATGTTTCATCATGCACACATCCATAATCCACAATTTCCACACACAAGCATATTTCATATAACAATGACATTCATGCTATGTGACTCAATACAACTTAATGCAAACTCATGCCATGTGGTACCAACACTTGTTATCTTTTTTCGGTTTACATTAAACCAGGTCCACTTTTCTAGACCGATAACCACCAAAAGTCCGTCCTCTAAGCTTTCAAACCCACTCTTCTAGGCTTGGGACAAGTCATTAGTCTCCACGAAACTAGAAAGCATTGCCTCTTGACTAAATGATGCATATGCAATCAACAACAAAATGCACTTAAGACCGACATCTTAATCTCATGCATTCAAATAATTCCTCTCTTCAAGAATTATAACATGATTGCACACACAACATATTCACATCATTCAAGTATTCATACTTTAAATCATCATATTTATCAAGCAATGCACACATATTCACAATATGTTCTCATGAACTCTTAACACATAAACACAAGCAATGCACACATATTCACAATATGTTCTCATGCACTCTTAACACATAAACAGAAGCAATGCACACATATTCACAATATGTTCTCATGCACTCTTCATACATTTTTAATCAACTTAAAAAATGTATTACATTTGTCAAAAGACCACAATTCAATTTAATTCAACAATCTAGGATTCACGCCATACGGTTACCCATAACATATATATCACATCATAATCTATGTCTTAAGGTGAAGGGTTAATCATACTAGAATCGGAAAACTGACCTCGGATGGAACTCCAAGAAAATCACAATTTGTCATGCTCGCTACCTCGCTCGCTCAGCGAGCCCCTATCGAGTATTCGCTACTTGTTCGCCCAGCGAACAAGCTCGCGAAGGCAAACAGAAGCTACTGACTTCGTTTGCTACCTCACTCGCTCAGCGAAGGCCTAGCGAACCTTAGCTACCCCCTTCGCTACCAGCGAACACCACAAAATGCATTCTGCCCAAGTCTGGGACCGTTCGCTACTGGCTCGCTACTAGCTCGCTTAGCGAACATTCGCTACCAGCTCGCTCAGCGAACATGCTAGCGAATGTCTACGAACTTCAAACCTTCACTGTCCAACTTCCACCAAACTCTCCAAAACCGACCGATTCTCACCGAACAAGTTCTGTAACCTTAGTCTAACATTCCCCGACTAAATACTACCACTTATCCTCATTTTTAACCGTAAAAACTCGGTTCCTATCGATTAAACATCTTTTGCCCTAGAATGGAAAATGAGGAAAAACAACCAAACAATCCATACATAATCACATAAATTGGTAAGATAACAATATTTCACACCCTTACCTTGATTAATCGGAAGCTAGAAGTCGTTCTTGATGATTTCCAAGCTTTTCCCTTCTTCTTCCTCTTTTCTCCTCTTCCTCTTTCTTTCTCTTCTTTTCCTTCTTTTCTTTCTGTCTCTTTTCTTTTCTCTCTATTTTCCTTTTATATCCTTCTATTTTCTTTCCACCATAATTCTTCTCTCAAAATATCTATCCATTCCTTTTCTCACCAAAATATCTCATCTTATCATTAACATAGAGAATATCTATTAAATCCACATTATTCTTCCAAATAGAATAAATCAGTTAAATCCATTAACACATATGAATTAAATAAATCCAATAATCTATTTAAATCAGATAAATCACATAAACCAATTAATTAGTACAATTAATCAATTATGGAAAAATTGGACTGTTACACCAATGGTTGAGAACTTTCTCCCAAAATATTCAAACATTGACCTCTCTCATTTGTTCCAAGATTGATTTTGACTATTACCACAACTTATTCTTCATTGTATATTGTTTCCCTTCACTACAAATACTCGATTTAAGTAACACTAAACGTTCTCACTTTTTCAATTTTTCTACAGTGAAGCTACATCAAATTAAATTTGAATTTTCCAAATTAGAGGTGTTGGACTTATCCTATACAACAGTGCGTGATATAGAACTCTATATAATCTCAAAGGCTTGCCCTCGACTTTTGCAACTTTCAATGAATACTTGTCCATGGATTACGGAGACGGGAGTGAATCATGTCTTAGAAAACTGCACACAATTAAGAGAGATCAATATAGCTAGGTGTCTTAGAGTGAATCCTAGCATAGTTGCCTCAACGGTATTTTCAAGGCCTTCATTGACAAAAATAACAGCACCACCTGGTTGTATTTTGAGCCACGCAGAGAAGAAACTTTTCAAGCTTCAAAGATGCCTTATTTGCTAGCTGTTATGATTTGTAAGACGTTTTTGTGGTTAACTTCTTTGAGAAATTTCCATTTTTATATAATGTAAGCAATTCGGTGTTATAATGTGATTTGAAATCAGAATAAAGTTGTTTTCTGAATTGAACTAATTAACCATTGAATTAGGTAGATATAGGTGGACTTAGCTGCCTTCTTTAGTTGGAATCGGAAAGATAACAATTTAGAAATCA